CTTGATAAGTGCTCACAGGCCATGTCCGAAATCGAAATTCCTTATTACTTATTCATGTCAGCTGCTAGCTCCAATTCCATGAGATAAAGATCTTGGAGAATAAGAAATAAGATTAGATTTATCTATATTAACGATCTTGGAGAGGTTAACACTCGGAAATATTTACTGCTTATCATGCATATAGGTAGGAAGAAACAATTCTATTAATGTATTCCCAATAAGCTCTGACTCACAACCTTGATAATTTAAATTGATTATAGCAAAAATATGTAGCCACATCATCTTAGTTGGATACTTCCTGATTGGTTCGTAGTTCCTTTTAGTGGTTATCACTGATTTTGCAACGTTTCTCCATTTCAATCGTATCGTTTTAATACAGAAACACGTTGCAACGAAGACTCAGTTACAGTCTTAATGTAAATTTTGCCTGATAGAACAGCAACTTGAACTTTCTCCTTCTTGTTGCCTGATCTAGAAATACCGATCGTGCTATTGAATCAACGTTACTAAATATAGCAATGAAAGTCAATAAAACGTTATTTCAAAGAGCCACAATAACTCAAAGTCCAGATGCTCGCTTTTAAATCATTTCACTCGAGCAATCAGTGAACAAATGTTCACAAATGTCCTGAGGAAATCGGGACATCCTAATATCGAAAATAATATTTTACATCTGCCGATCCGTTGCGGACTATGCCCGCAACGGATATACTCTTCATACATATAATAAAATACTCTTCTTCCCCTGTAGCCCTTTGTCCATTAGTTCAACATTTATATAGGCCGTAACATACATGAACGCAAAAATAAAAGTTACAGGCGTTGATACAGCAAAAAGTAATCAGACAAATTTCGACCCCGAGCCTGAAGAGTAATGGCGGTTTTCGCAAAAGGACATTTCTGTCTGCGGTGCGGAGCATACGAGCAAATATTAGGACCCTTGCTCGTTATAGGGGCGACAAGAGCCAGCAAAGCGGGCTGACCGCGTCCCTAATCTAGGTGCACATTACGGCGGTCATATTACAACCCCGTGTGTACCTAAAACCCGTTGATATTTTCCACATACGCCTACCTAATCCCGGTGCAGCTTTAAACGATATACCGCAGAATCGCTTCAATTGCTCCGATTATTCTCTTTGAGAAAATCCTTTAAAAAACATTGAAACATTATTCCTTACATATTCATATACCAATCAACATGGATATGTATGCTACGTTAATGCTACGCCACGACCTAAACCGTGCTACGGGGAATCCTATCTAAAAAATTTGAGTGCTGAAAATAATAATATCATTATGTATAATGATACATACTTAGTTTACGTACTTAATTTTTTCAGGACACACTTTTTACACAATGTTATCGCTTTTTATGTGATAAGATGAATTTTATGCTTATTAGCAATTCACGTAGGGTGGCAGATGCGTTGCCACCTTTTAATAAAGTGGGCCCTTTCTACCTCACTCACCAGACAAAACGTGGAAGTGTAACATTTCCTGGAGGTCGTGGTACTTATACGGACGGACCTGTCTATTCGTGCAACTGAGAAAACTGTGTCGCCCAACCAACCGTAAAGTTTTGCTTAGTTTGGGACTAAGACAGACACTAGTAAAATACTATCACACAGTTTTTTTTTTTTTTTTTTATGGAGAAAAGGGGCAAACGAGCAGGAGGCTCACCTGATGGTAAGTGATTACCGCCGCCCATGAACACCTGCAACACCCGAGGGCTCACAAATGCGTTGCCGGCGTTCCAGGAGTTTAGATCTAACCCACACCCTCTGGCGCAAGAGACATATTCAATAACCACTACGCCAATCTGGTCGTCACAAAAGTTTATGCATGTCCACTTTTCATTTATAAATCAAGAGTAGATCAAGAGATGTTTTGTACCACAACTTCATTTCGCATAAATTCCCTTGGTGCTCGCTATTTTTGCCTTTAAGCTACTATAATAGATATATTACGGTAGATTTTCTATAATCATTATTATACTCTACACCCCGCCCAAGTGCGGAGTTGATGTTCATAAAATGAGGATAATACTGACAGTCTTCATTCCTATGTTATCCTAATAGCCATCCTATATCGATGTAATTTCCTCGGTCATACTCAAAATATATAATTCGAACTTCAGCTTAATATGTGATCATAAGTTGTTTTCACTACCAATAATTTTTCAAGACAAATTAATAAAAACAAGAGCAAGTCGGACTCGCGCACGAAGGGTCAAAATCATGTCTGCTATATGGAAGCTCCACTTTGTTTTTTTTATTCTGTTTTTTTTTGGTATTTGTTGCTATAGCGGCAACAGAAATACGTCATCTGTGATAATTTCAAGTGTCTATCACTGTTCATGGGATACAGCCTGGTTACAGACGGACAGACAGACAGCAGAGTCTTAGTAATAGGGTCCCGTTTTACCCTTTGAGTACGGAACCCTAAAGTCCGTTCGTTTTTTGTAATATAAACTCTTTAATATGTTGCCAGCTTTTAACTGTCTTCGTCTAGTCCCCAAAATAGTATTACATCTTCTTTATTACGTATATTATAATTTTTCTGTGCGTGTGTATGTGACTGAACTCCTCCTAAACACCTAACCTATTTGAATGAATTTTTTTGTAAGTCATACTATGTCTTCAGGTTGATTCTAGAATAATTTAGATTCACAATTCGGTCCAGTACATTTTTTTTATTTTTTGTTTATAAGGTTTTTTTTTGGTTTTTTTATGCGAATAGTTGTCAAACGAGCAGATGGTTCACCTGATGTTAAGTGAATATCGCCGCCCATGGATATCTGCCACACCCGAGGGTTACAGATGCGTTGACAACCTTTTGAAAATTGGGCTCCGGCTACCTCACTCACCAGACGAAACGCATTTGTCATACTTACACTTTACGCTGGTCTTCTGTGAGGTCGTGGTACTTACCCGGACGGGCCTGCCCATTCGTGCAACAGCCGAGGCTGCTGCGTGGCCCTACCACCGTTATAAGGTTTTGTTGTCGGACATACCTATAGTTAACGACATAGTTCATAGTATTAATAAGCTGGAGTGGCAATGTTCCGGCCATACAACTATGAGAACCAATAACCGATGGGGAAATAAGGTTCTCGAGTGGCAGCCTCCACTAGATATTTGAAGATCTGTGCATATGTACGGGAAGTCGATGGATGCCGGTGGCTCAGGGTCATACTTTTTGGCAGTTTGTGGAGAAGAGACAGATATTCAGTAATAGACTTGAATAGGGCAAATCGATGACGAAAATGATGATGATGATGATTGTACGATTATTAATATATTTGTACTGATGTGTTTGTAAAATTATTTTGTGAAAATCGATAGGAAATAAAGAGCACATTTTTATATCGTATATTATAGCTGCTGCCCGCGACTACGTCTGCGTGGAATAGGCTGAAGACGTAACATTCAGAGAGAAAGACAGATATACATAAAATATGTATATAAACTATAGCCTATGTCTTATTCTGATGTATAAGCTATATTATTGTAAAGTTTCACTAAAATTCATTTAGTAGAATTTGCGTGAAATAGTAACAAATATCCATCCATACGTACAAACTTTCACGTTTATAATATTAGTAAGGATTAACGTTCACGGCAAAATCTTTTGTAAATTATGTGTTAAAAGACATGGAAGTTCTATCATTATCTACTACCATAATAACTTAAACAAATTTTATTGTAATCTATTAAGCGAAATAAAAAATATTACGAAGAAGTATCACTTCAAAAGCTGTTTTAACAAATATCTTGTCTCAAAGATAAGAAAATTAACTTTCTATTCCCGTTTAAACCGACACAACAACGTTATTCATTACCCTTAATCGTCAGCAAATTTACTTAGATGATACTTCTGTGCTCCGAAAACAATAATTATTAATTATACTTAAGTTGATATCAGACTAACTTCTTCCGGAGTCCGCAAATTACCGCTTGAAACTTTGCAGCTTATCGTAGCACTGAGACGGTTAACGATAAATGCTACTTAACGGTGTCCATACTACTTTGACCAATTAAAAAAAAGTAATTTTCTTTATTAACGAATAACAAAAGAGACTTCAAATCTCTCGCTCTGTATTCATTTTATAATTGATTTTCAGGTGTGCCCTAAGATTTATTATATATATAGTAAGATTTATTATATATATATATATATATATATATATATATATTTAGTATTTCCGGAGCCCAATATCGATGAAATTAATATTCGACACACATGGGAAGCACCAGCTTTCAAATAAAAAAAATTATCATTAAAATCGGTTCACCCAGTTGAAAGTTCTGAGTTAACAAACATAAAAAAAATACAGTCGAATTGAGAACCTACTCTTGTAGGTTTCAAAACCACAAGATTTCAAGCGTCGGTTTTTAAGAAAATAACTGTCGCACTACAACTTTTTTATTACTTTGTTCATAAGTTTTATCATTGATATTTTGTGAAGCCATAATATATTTCTGAATTTTACTCATTCACTTATCTATTCATTGTACAGAAAAGACTCAATATGAAATACAATTATAATATAATATAGATATAGAAAAGTCTCAATTGATCGTAATAATCAATTAATGGTGAAAGCTCTACTATCACGCGAGAAAGTAACAGGACTTATTGTGTGTTATATTTGACAATTTTTTTCATTTTATATATATTTCACTCATATATCTAAGTGATGCAGTACCCAACATGCGGTCGGGTAACGCTTCATGGTGTGGTCTTATACAAACACAGCGTTTTGTGTTAGAGCAGCGTTCTGACGTCATAAGTCTTTTTGAATAAACACCCAGCCCCGAAACAATTAACTGTACGTCTCGCAAATACTTTTCCCACGTGGGGATCGAACCCAATCCATCCCAGACTGAAGCTAACGGCTTAGCAGCTGCGTCAACTTACAACTTATCATATGAGTGCTATGTCTTCAAATGAATACTTATGTTTCATTTGTGTGGTGAACGTTCATCTGATTCTTTTAGGACACCACGGCACGTCACGCTCCCGGGGATGGCGGGCAGGTGTTCAGCCGTCAGCGGACGTCACTGCCAACAACTCGGTGAGCAACGTCACCGCACAGTTGGGGGGCACAGCCTACCTCCACTGCTTAGTGGGGCACCTGAGCGAAAGGGGGGTACGTATTGTTACCTGCTAGTTAATAAGACAGACGAAGATGGAATAGTTCGTGACGTAATTCTAAATAAGAGCTGGTCGCGACAATACCTTTATATATAAAAACCAGCTGCTGCCCGTGACTACATCTGCGTATAATAGGCTGAAGGCGTAACATTCAGACAGAAAGACGGATATACATAAAATATGTATATAAATTATAGCCTATGTCTTATTCTGATGTTATATACATCAGAATAAGACATAGGCTAAGCTATATTATTGTAAAGTTTCATTAAAATCCATTCAGTAGTATATGCGTGAAAGAGTAACAAACATCCATCCATACATGCAAACTTTCGCGTTTATAATACTAGCTGCTGCCCGCGACTACGTCGGCGTAGAATAGGCTGAAGGCGTAACATTCAGACAGAAAGACGTATATATATAATAATATGTATATAAATTATAGCCTATGTTTTATTCTGATGCATCTGCTATATTGTTGTAAAATTTCATTAAAATCTATTCAGTAGTATTTGTGTGAAAGAGTAACAAACATCCATCCATACATACAAACTTTCGCCTTTAGAATATTAGTAAGGAAGTAAGGAAGTAAGGAAGTAAGGATTTTGCTATGATTGGATCCACAAAATTAAAAAACAAGCAGATGGTTCAACCTGATGTTTGTTCACAACATATTTATTGTATATTTTTTATTGTACTTTTTGTTCTAAGTTCCAACGAAAACTAAATAAAATACATGCACAGCGATACTGTATGATAAAAAACGAAATATTTTTAATTACAATCTTTAATTTTACTAGTTAGTAATTACTATTAATAAAGTATATTGAGACACTAATGAAATTTCATCGTAGTTCTCACATCGTGCTTGCACAATATACGGACATATCACAATAAAAAAACATCACATTTCTTTACATTTCGTGAAAATAGCAGAGTCAGTAATTCCACATATGTTCAACGTACGTCGTAGAAAACTATGCCAACAAAGTTTCGCAGTATTGCAATATCGTTACCAATATTTCAACTTATAAAATTGGAATCTTATATCGCGAACATACGAGTAAAAGATACGAGAACAAAGTACATCCCGCAGTTCACACAGTATGTGAAATATATTTGCCATTAAAATTTCTGTTAAGATTTCTCATAAGTTTTATACTTTCGTTTGTTTAAAAGTTTGTGTGGAAATTTATTATCATTTAATTTATGATCTTACTAACCAATTCTGTCTGTAGAATTTTAAACATAATTTTTTTTAATTAAGGTTACTAACTTCTTGATTTCAAGTTATTGAAGTCATGGGGTAGGGCCACGTAACAGTTTACTGTTTCACGAATGGGCAGGTCTGTCCGGGCAAGTACAATGACCTCACAGAAGACCGGCGTTAAGTGGAAGTTTCACACTTCTGCGTTTCGTCTGGTAAATGAGGTAGCCCTAATTTTCTAAAAACATTTTGATGCAAGTCCCTTACAGTTGTATCGCATATCGGTTTTACATAATATGTTATGAGCGGTAACCATCAGGACGGAATTCTTTATAAACAATTATATATTTTATCTTCAACACAATTCTTAGTAAATAAAATCAAACCTTGGCAGCGATGTAAAATTTTCTGACGTAATTTGTCGAAACTAACGTAACATCGAACTGTATAGTCGTAGCAAACTCCCGAAGCTACGCGAACATTTTCAAGAGTTAGCCAAACGATTCATAACAAGGGCCCAAAACTACTCGAATCCTTAATTATCAACCCGATATAATTGAGACCGTTTAAATACGTCACCCACGCAGTGTCCTCATCGACCCGGTCGAGGAAGGCGACATAGGTACATACGTCGGACCCACCGGTGGTCCCGTTAGACAACACTATACCCAAGCTAACACGCATTATCAATTAATTCGTTCATCTACAAGCACGGCATACATAAGGTACGCGTACATAAGGTATACCCGCGTTCTAGGGCGGTCCTCACCACCTCGCCCCCAAATATAGAAAATTAATTTACAAATTATGCATTTAACTATTGCTCGCTATGACGTTGTAACCGTTTTTGATTTTGTCATGTTATACTACGATTGCTAATAAAATAAATACCTGTGTGTACAAGCCTATTTTAAATTACTTAATTTAATTTTATCAATCATGTTTTGCTTTCTATCAATTTTAAATATCTTAGTAGGCATTAAGGTGCAAGACCTAATCCCTGTTACATATATTAATCGATTAATACAATATGTTGTTCTTACAGCAAGTCTCCTGGATTAGGAAGCGCGACTGGCACATTCTCAGCTCAGGGAAATTCACTTACACGAACGACGAACGGTTCCAGGTGAGATATAGTATACTACTAACATTATACTAGCGATAACATATGAACAAAATAGTATAACATATAACCAACATTTGAACCTTCCTCTTGAATCACTCTATCTAGTAAAAAAACCGCATCAAGATTCGTTGCCTAGGTTTAAAGATCTTAGCATACATAGGGACAGACAGACAGCGGGACGACTTTGTTTTATACTACGTAGTGATACAGCACTTCTGTCACTACATGTTGTATGGGAGTTGGAAAAGAAAATAATTATTCAAAGGATAAAGTGTCCATCAGGTGACCCGATTACTCGTCAGCATCCTTTTCAATAAAAAAAGTCTGTTTTCACCGCGTACCCTGCTGAGTGACGATCCCGAATATTTATGTAAATGTATGTACAATTAACATTACTCCAATTAAATTCGACATAAAACTCGGCATGGAAATAAGAATTGAAGCATTCGCCGATAAGCAAAATACGGAGGCACGACCGAAATTAACGGCGGTCTGTTAATTGGCACCGCGCTGACCACTTTTTAGTCATTAATTAAAACGGTATCAATAAACATGATCACGCGCGGGTTAGTTTTGTTACAATTGTTACGGTATAAATTAACGCCGGCCAATCTAATGAATATGTAATCAGAATGCCGTTCACTAAAGTAGTGTTTGTACGGGGATCACTAACGAACGGCCGATTGACACGATCTGAAAAGCCATTCGTTTCGATATCGATCCGGTGATACTGTTAGGTAGATCGTTTCTTTGGATCTTATCGTTCGTAGATCGTCAGTGAGGTAGATCATTTCTTTGGTTTTCGCACGTCAGCATGGCAATAGCGATTATTGACCCGACTGCTACTACGAACGCCATTTTCCGGACATAAGTTCTTATTGCGTAGAGGTATCGTGGTAGCGGTAGGTTCAAAGAGGTATTCTCTACAAACCTACCGCTACCAAATACTATAGATATGGTAAATGACATTATGGATATTGCACCCAATAATTAAGTATCGCTAAACCAATTAAGGTACAGTGGTAGACAGGGGTCAATGTTCGCTATTGCTACAGCGTGAAGACTGCAGCCGCTTTAGAACACTGCTCTAATGAATAGTGCTGGAAGCTAAGCGTATAAAATATCAAAATTCCACTCGTCCTTCGTCGACGAACGATTATCGAAGCTGTACAGTCCCATTTTCAAAATGATAGGAGCTGGTCACGTACGTTCTCATGAGACTCGATTGACGATAGTATTGTCCTCATATTATGATCCCCTGGCCTTTTCCATGGTTTATAATTTGAGATCTGTTGCTAATCCCACATTGTTAAAAGCGAACAGCACAGCTATATTATAATTAATAGCTTAAAGCACCAGAGACTGCTGGCCCGCTGCCACCAAAGTATACATTTCAGAAAGTTAGAGATGTCATATCGCGGCCCTAACGCGATCTCGAAATCTCTAAATTAGTCCTTAAGTGTAAAACTTATTAACTATATGCGTCTTCCAACAGGTCCTGCATGGCGAAGGCTCTGAAGATTGGACTTTGCAGATCAAGTTTGTACAAAAGAGGGACAATGGAACTTACGAATGTCAGGTTAGGACAAAAACAACATAATGATTTCTTGTATTCACGCTATAAGACATTACTAAATGACAGTATGCTTACGGAATTAATACGTTTATTTTTAGTTTTATTTCCCGACGTTTCGAACCGTGTCTAACTTTTCAGCGTTATGGCCGCGGGACCATGTCTCATGGTTTCATTTAGTAAGATTTTTATTTTTTATTACATTATTCTTAAAAATGGTTACAACTCGAAATACATTGAATCAATGTGACTTTGTTATTATTGTTAAATTTAAACGATAAACACTTCGCTTCTTTTTCCTAAAAAATAATAATTTATTAGATAGAACTTTAACTTAATCAGTTTTGTGGGATGGGCATGCAATATTTAACATCCCACAAAACATCCGCATCACACGAATCACTATGAATACTTTATTTATAGCTTGACCTATATTTTATTGGTACCTTGTACACTAAAAAACCCACGTAAAGTCTATCGCATTGAAACGCTGTGTTACCGGCCCGTATCAAGTATGTATGGCCTAACCAATACCGAATGCGTAATAGGGGATCAAGTTGTAAATCATACGCGAGGGCCAAAATTCAAATACGTGCTCTGCAATTTGTATGGGTTAATGAATGTTTATTTGGCGATTATTAATGCATTTCCCGCGTCCGGGCAGGTGCCTAATAGTTTCGGAATTAAATGACCACAGAATTGCCCAGCCTTTTACGTAAACGCTAAAACTTATTTATGGCAACACACTCGCTATGACGTTGTGATTTTTTTTTTGTTATTTCTTTTTATATATTTTTTTATTGTGTATAAAGAATAATGTGACTGGTATTCTACCAAAGCTTTAGAGAATGTTGTGTTTATTAACTTTCGTTTCTTGAAGTCGGTAACCCATGTACAATCCTTCAGATGTTATAATCACAGTAAATCATAGACGACGGTAGTCAGTCGACTATTTTGCCTGATGCTAAAGATTTTTTTTAATTTTGCCTGATGGAAAAGTAGTTTGTTTTAGATGTTTTCTTTTTTTAACACCCGGATCTTAAATAATTATCTGAGGGCCATACAAATGGTTATCTCGTGTGGGATTCGAACGCACGACCCCCGCTGCTGAATCCAATACTTTAGCAACTCCGCCACGGAGCCGTTTGTGTTAAACGTCAAGCTAAAAAAAAACCAATAATTCGAAGACAATCGGATGGAAAAACTGATTCATTGTCCACTTTCGCTGTACTCATTACAAAAAACCGGCCAAGTGCGAATCGGACTCGCACACGAAGGGTTCCGTATCATTATTTATAAAAAAATCTATTTTTTAGTATTTGTTGTTACAGCGGCAACAGAAATACATCATATATGAAAATTACAACTAAGACGGTTCATGTCATCACTACAGTCTATCACAGTTCATGGGATACAGCCTAGTGACAGGACAGACCGACACACAGCGGAGTCTTGGTGATAGGAACGGAACCCTAAAAAGATACAGATCGAAACAAACTTATAACATATACCAAAACTAACGATCGATAATCTATTATGCGCTAGTGTATAAGCGAAATTTCCCCATGCATAAACCTTCATTAGAATTTGGCGTCTCTATTAAATTCCGAACCCAAATAATGGCGTGTGATGAGGTTGAATAATGTGGTAAATATCAGTTGAACGAGAACTTTAAAAGCATTTAATACATATTGATGTATGAAATATTTTTATAGAAGTTTTGTTTGGCTGACCCAAAACGGGATTACCACCCGATTGCATTATGATATCACGTAGAATTTTTAATTACGCGATAAATAGTATAATAAGGTGATGTAAACTGTGCTAGGGCCACGCAACCGCTTCGGCTGTTGCACGAATGGGCAGGTCCGTCCGGGTAATTACCTCGACCACACAGAAGACCGCGGCGTGAAGTGCAAATGAGATAGCCGGGGTCCACTTTATAAAAAGGTGGCAACGCATCTGCAACCCTACGATTATTGCAAATGGTGGCTGAAATCACTTAACATCAGGTGAACCGCCAACTCGCTTGCCACCTTCTAATAAAACAAAATCTATAAACATGTATTTCAACCTGTATGTATAAAACTCAATTTTTATCTATTAAAGGATTCACTGCTCGCGAGACCATTAAAACTTAACGGCACGACACTTATTTATAATTCCTTTAATTTGTACAGTTCCATGAAGACTTGAAAGCATTGATTTGGATTGATTGCAGAGTCTAAATCACAGTGCGTCTTTTTCAAAAGTTTCTTCAAAACTTTATTTAAAATAGGCAAATCCGAATAATTACAATTTTGTGTTATTAAATGTTCAATCAAAAGGTTATTAAATATTCAATCAAAAGGTAACTGTATAAACTCCGTTAATAAGATTTCTCGTTTCATTAGTCTTACGGCAAATTAAACTTATATTATTTATTTTATAAGTCAAAGTGAAATATTTAAATACAGAGTTTTATTTACAGCAAACTCGCATGAGACTGGTACGTTATAGCTGCAATGACAATTATAGAAACAAGAAATTAAAATGAATCAGTTAGTTGTACCTCACTTTTATATATGTGGTGGGACAGCTTCTATGTTTCGCGAATGCAATAGCATAGTGGATTATCATAGACGTGTCTTAGGCGTTTTATATAAACGCTCACTAACTATTAAATACAAACTCATGAAAGCTTATGCTAGCATCGTGCTGTAGCTATAAGAGATTTTATGCTCCGTTAATCTCAAGAGTCGGGTTGTCTGGAAATCACCACAACCTCACTGAAGACCACTGTTTGCATAATAGAAGTATTTATGCTTCTCCGATTCGTCTGTTGATTGAGATTACATGGGCTGACTGTTTCAAAGTTTCGCGCCTATCTAGAATATGGTGTTTTGGATGCCCATGGCCTAAATTTACTAATTAATTGATGAACCGCATTCACATTTGCCATATTTTCACATAAAAAATATCTTTGCAGTACGGTTTTATCGAGCTTTTAAAAAGTACCGCCCACCCGCAAAGTTCTGCGCACTTCGAACACGTCTGCCGCTTAAAAGCCTTCTGGTGTAAAGGTTTAAATGTTCCTTACACATTTTCATTTTGTTTGAGAAATCCAAGGTCTGACCCACTAGGCAGGTAACTGATATGTTGTACGTAAAAATGTCATTCGTTTAAAATATGTGAATTTAATAGATTAAATGACAAAACAATTGTTCGACTGCGGTTTTTGAACCTGTTTTAGGTAAAGATCTCGACAACTGGACTTCAGATAATACCACTAACTGAAAATTAGCTCTAAAACTAATAATAATAATCCGTAAAATATCAGCTGTTAATGAAACTTCGGGATTTGATGTCACGGATCCTGATGGTATCCATATTTGTACCTTATGTACGGAGATAGTAACAATCTGCTATACTGCAATAACAATCTACCCCGTTAAGTTAATGTATAAGCACCATATCCATTTTGACCTTCTAAAGCGGTTTTAATATTTAGAACCATGATAATACTTCACTTTTGTAACCTCCTTAAAAAAATATATATGAAAAAGATTAAAGGAAACTGACAAAAGGTGTAGTGACCCTATTAGGTATTTGATTTAAAAAAATAACAAATCCTTAAATATAAACGTAAAAATTGAATTTGTAGATTCTACCTTGTTTGTGTGTGTTATTCCACTTCCAGTATTCCCAATAGATTGATAGATATTAAAAAAAGACGTGCTCGTAAGAAGTTATACTTCTTAAGCATAAAATAAGAATAATAACTAAACATTTTTAGGAGATTTTACTAAACCAAAGGCAATTAATGGTCGAGCGTGAGGCAGTTGGCTTTTATAGCAGCCATCGTAAAAAAATTAACGCAAGAACGAGCCACTGTAGTGTGATCCAACCTATAAATAAGCATGTGAACTCTACATTCATTACCCCAGTCGGCCAGCGAAGTTGTTTAACTTCTACGCCCCATCGAGCTGAATGGAGGTACTTAAAAAATGCGCAAGTTGATAAACCCTTAATAAGGATGGGCGTTTCAACAAACGTTTCGTATGTATATAGTCTACTTTGTAGGATTTTGGAAGTTTGCTAGTTAGCGTTGAGTTATAGAAGAAATTGTAGTTATTGTTATTTTTCATGTGGAATAATAAGCCTATACCGGCTCACTTCCCATTACTTAGTTTAAACCTTCGGTGGTGCGAACCTGAATTCGATTCTCGAATCGGAAAATTATGCGCCTCAAATATTTCATCCACATCTAAATGTTTCTCTATGCGGGCTTTAATGAAAACAGCTTTATGGTATAACATTATCGCAATTTTTGTAAAGAATTGAACCACTTAGCAGCACTTAAGGCATAACATTGGAAAAAGGCAATAGAGGGCTGCTCATAGTCGAGTCAGTGATTTATGGTGCTAACTTTTAGACAAGGGCGAAGCGCTCTATATTTAGCCATTGAACTGTTCCAAACCGCAAAACAGCAATGAGGGAAACACGCACGAACCTTTAAAGCTTTTTAATACCTTTGTTCCTACAGAGTTACTGAGCTCACCGGCCAATTCTTTATTTATTTATTTATTTAATCTTTATTGCATTTCAAATTATAGTACAAAGGTGAGCTTAATGCTATACTGCATTCTCTACCATCTAACCCTATTCTAATTCTTTCCTTTCTGTGGTGGTTGTGTGGACCAGATGATGATTATTACTTTTATATTGTATATTATCATCCCATTTATAATCAAGTAAAAAATTAGTAAAGAGGTATTTTAATTGTGGAAGGGCCGCGCAGCAATTCGGTGTTGCACGAATGGGCAGGTTCGTCCGGGTAAGTACCACGACCTCACGAAGACCGCCGTGAAGTGAAAGTGTTACTTCTGCGTTTTTTCTGTTGAGTGAGGTAGCCAAGACCCACTTTTTAAAGGTGGAAATACATGTGCAACCCTTCGGGTGTTGAAATGTCAATGGGCGCCGTTTATCACTTAACATCAGCTGAACCACCTGCTCGCTTGCATCCT